ACATGTTTTACTTTAAAATTACTATCAATACTTTGGCCATTTTGTTGTTTTCAAAAGTTGCATAAGAGTATAAAATTATGTTTTGAACAATTTCGTTTTAATTGCGTTTAAATAAAATTGTTTTAGTAATTTTGGTTTGATACGCCAAAGTTTTTTTATCTAATAACATATTGAAACAGCAAATTCATTTCTTCTTTAGCTTTATTTTAACAATTTTTCTATCTTTTAATGACAAATTTAGACCTTATCTTTCTGATATTGTAAGGTTCTGGTTTTCATATACTTTGATTTTTATGTTTTTTGTATTTCCTAGCAACCATTTTTGTAGTGTAATTGCAGTAGACTTATACATTTTGAGCGGTTTATTGGAATTTGTCCATTGGTTAAATAGTAGACCACTATAAGTGACCAGCCGATAACAGTGGCTATTCATTGACTAGCTACTTCTAGCGGCTTCCACTAATGTTCCCTTAAGTAACCAATGAGAAAAATTTCAGTGGATCGCTCAAAATGCCAATAAAGGTCTACTGAAACTTTGCTAAAGAATGTTTGCTGTTTAAATTTTTTACTTTCTTGTAGTACAACTTATTGATCCAATTTGACTTTTAAGTTACTATGACAACACCAGGCTGGCTACTTTTACTTTCTAATAAATGGTTTTTTATTTTGTTTATAAAAGTTGAGATCTGAAATAACTTTTTTTTTCTTGTCTTTTTCTTCTTTTTGAATTTTTAATGATTCGTTTTACAATAACAACAAAACAAAAGGACTATTGTTTTTTTAACTGGGTTTTTAAATTATTTCTGCTTAGAAAGCTTTAAAAATTTTGTTTTACATCAACTACTAAAGAGTAATGGAATGATGAGCAAGATCAGAAAATTGCTGTTTTAGTGTGTATTTGTTATTGTTTTATTTAATTTATGTATTTGAAAAATATTTGCAATATCTTTAAAAATAGTTTAATTTTTATATATATTATAATTTAAGAAAATGCGTTTGCTTTGGTACGTGACTTTCTTTTAAATATTAAAAATAAGGTTTTAAAAGCGCTGTTATAATTATTCTGAAAGCAATTTATCAATCACGACTTTAAATGGCCGAAAAAACGGCGTTGATTAACTTAAGTAGTTAAAATTTAACGGCTCCTTTAGGAGTGTTACCTTGACAAAAAATAAATATCCGATCATAGTTTGTAAACCTAGATTTAAAGGGATTATCAAAAAAAAAATTTTAATCAATAAAAGAATATTTAAAAAAATATTTATTTAATAACGAGTAATTGTTATTAATTGACTGATAATTTCAAATTTATTTGATTTACCATTGTTATTATTAAGTATGGGAGTTTTTCAGGGTACCAAAATTCAGCGCAATTTGGCTACTAACTAGTTAAAACAAAATAAAACGTTTACATTGATTAAAAACAACAACAACTGGAATAGTATTAGAAACCATCAGTGATGTTATAAAAAAGTACAAAACGTTTGGATATGTGAAAAAATGATTGACAAAATGTGAAGATGGTGCAAAAAAACCGATTTTCGAAAAAAAATTTGGAATATAAGAGATTGCATGTACTATTCGAAATGGATTGTAAGAGAGTGCATTTAAAGCAAGATTTCCACGCAAGAAACCATTCCTTTCAAAACCTATTGAAACTGAAGACTTACATTTTCCAAAAATACATGTAAATATGCCAGTATGACTCTGGAAAAATATTTGTGAACTAAAAAGTTGAAGTTTAGTTATGTGAAGTCAGATGGAGCTCAAAAGGTTTGGAGAAAAAAAAAAGTGAAGCATTTAATCAGCAGCATTTAAGAACCATTAAAATTTGGTGGAGGCAATTTTATGGTCTGGGGATTAATAGCTTGAAACGGAACAAAAAAGCTGCAGTTTATTTATGGAATTTTAACTCTAAGGTTTATGTTAACATTCTAAATAAAAATCTTCTGACCTAACTAAAAAATTGCGATCGGGAAAACATTTTATGATCCAAAAACACAACGAATCAAGCATTCTTCAGAGAAAGCAGAGATTTTTATTCAGAAGAAGATTGAATTACTTGAATGGCTGGCTCAAATTCTAGATCTTAATCTAATAGAAACCCATGGACCATTTGGAACAAAAAAATTACACAAAATTTCTAAAACAAAAAGAACTAAAAATCATGCTCCAAGAAGCTTAGACACAAATGAACCCTGATACTTCAAAGTAACTGGTTAAATCAGCGCAAAATTGACTTGCAGAAGTCATAAAAGCGAAAGGTGGCCAAACGCAATATTACATAGTACAAAAGTTTAATTACTTCAATAAAACTTGAAATTTTAAAATCTTTTTGAAATAATTTTTTAGGTTTTTCAAAAAACTTTTGATAAACATTTTTTTCCCCACAACTTTATAACTCTCGTTGTTTTTTTTTAATGAAAGATATTTTTTTTAATGAAATTAGTACTTTTAGAAAAAGTAACGATTTCATTAAAACATTTCGTTAGATTGTTGCTTTGGAATATATTATATATCACAAATATTGTTATAATATATGTTATATCTTGAGCTTTATAAACATAAAAAAATATTAATGTAAAAGCTTGATATAGTTGAAACAAAAGCCTCTTTTTATTTCTAAAATGTTTCGTTTACGGTTTTTGGTATGTGGTAAATTTAAATTAGGGTGATACGAAAGTTTGTGATTAAAACCGGATCTTAATAGTGCGTCATTGTACATAGGAGTAGATCTTTGGAAGATTTCTGCGCTTGACGAATTTGCAGACTATCTTAAATTTTCACTTTATATATATATATATGTTTGCTATGTATAAATTATCAACGAAGATGTGCTTACACGAAGACAAACAACGCTTGGATAGCGTACTCAAGGTGAGAACGAACATACGTGTGTATTCTTTCCACAGTAAAAACTATGGCTGCGAAAATTTTTTTAGCCTCCTTAAGGAGTGGTTAGCGTTCACCGTAGCTGCTGAAACTTGAGCATTAAGTTTAAGATCATCCGAGATAAGAACTCCAAGATCTCTCCCTCTAAATAAGTAACTTTGATAGCAAGTGGCTGGCCGTCTGGTCCTGGCATAAAATAGTCTCGTTTTGATCCTTTTTTTCCTTTTCTTGTTTTGATCTTTTTTTTCCCCCGGCAAGTATGCATGACTTTTACTTTTCAGTGTTGAAGGTCAAATTTTCAGGTCCAACTACATTTACAATGCATTTTTGGGATTTTTCTAAAAGAGAAAGAGCAATAATAATAAAACCTGTTGAAATATGACCACAGTTGAAATATGACCACAGTTGAAGTATGACCACAGTTATCAATAGAGGGATGAATAAGAGATTTGTAGAGGTAGATAATGGAATCGAAATTAAAAAATGGCGAGCACAATAAAAAGAGGCAACTTTAGCAGATGCTATTTTAGCATTGTATATATGCATATAGATTATAAATGTATATATGTGTATATATGGTTTTCTATAAAAAATACAGCAGGAAATAATAATCCAAAATGGTAGAGGACTCATTGAGAGCGTTGTCATTCATTAAAATAGGAGTATCAACAATAATTTGACTTTTTGCTGTAAACAACTGAGTTTTGTTGAAGTTAAAGTACACAAGTCACTAAAAACACGGAGCTGTTATTAAAAAGAGATTCAGGTTCTAAATCGGCTGTCTGTTAGTAACAATCGAAAAGTGATTTTAACTAAGACATCTTGTTTAAAAGTTTTATTAATTTAATAAATGAACATTAATAAGTACGAGTTCTCTTAATACTATTTATTAATTTTTTATTTAAAAATTTCAAAATTTTTGAAAGTAGCATCTTCAGATTTAATTACAAACAGTTTATTATACTTTAAATTCTTAATTAATAAGGTACTCCTAGATGTCCTTACGGTCACAGAAGAGCATTTAACTAGGTAGTTTACGCTAAACAAGCCGTAAAGTTAGTTTTTAATGACTTCCACAAAATTATATTTAAAGGGGCTTTATTTTGGGTACGCAAATATAAAAAAGATAGCGTACAGAATTGCATTTTTAGATACTGCATATATATATATATATATATATATATATATATATATATATATATACAAATATATAAATATATATATATATATATATACATATATATATATATATATATATATATATATATATATATATATATATATATATATATATATATATATATATATATATATATATATATATATATATATATATATATATATATATATATATATATATATATATATATATATATATATATACAAATATATAAATTTATATATACATATATATACATATATATATATATAAATATGTATATATATATATATATATATATATATATATATATATATATATATATATATATATATATATATATATATATATATATATATATATTACTTTTGCAAACTGATTGCTTACTGAATAAGGTTGGCTAAATTCCTGGTCCAATAACAATATTTAGAGTTACGAATACCTTTTGCTATTCAGGATTACATAAAAAGTATCAAAAAGCTCAAGTAAATAATAAAAAAGTCTATAATCAGGTATTTTTACCAAGTGAAATATCTTAAGCGCTAAGATTTGATTTGCGAATATAAAGTAAAATTTTGAAGATGCTGAAATATATATATAAACTAATAGTTTTTTAAATTTAGTTATTATTAAACTCTTTAGTTTAAAAAATAGCTTAAAATAATAACATTTTGAGACGTAATAAGTTTGGCATCGGAATAACTATCAGTCTAGTCAGACTTCATTTTAAAAATTTTTAGTAAGGCAAACTTTTAATAACCTTATTTGAATTTGAACAGCGGTTGTGAGAGTAGCAAGATGCTATATGATTAGCAAACGCTCAAATTTTGTTGTCATAAATTGGTCATATATTAGTTTTATAAAATAATAAAGTAATTTAAAAATTACGTTAAAAATAATAAAATTAAAAGGTTTGTTAAAGTTATGAAAACTAAATTTATTTATTTAGAAATGCATCATTTATTTATGGTGACGTTTGGAGCAGTATTTTTGGCAGGTATGTTTATAAAACCACTTTAAAATTTTAAATTAGATATATGTAGAAGGGATTGAGTTTTTTCAAAAAAAAAGAGTAAGAATTTGTAAAAGTTTTAAAACTTTTATAGACACTTTATGACAAAACACCTTTTTTATTTTACTTTCATCTAACCTCATTTCTAATATCTTATTTTATATTAGCCTAGTTCACTTTTAATAGTCTATAAGTCTGCTTTAAAAAAAAAGATACAAAAACAAATTGAAAAATTTAAATAAAAGTACAAATGTATAAAACTGATAATAATAGTTTATAATTTTAGATGTCTTAAAATGTCTCTTAAAATGTAACAAAACAAAAATCTCATTTATGCCTGTTAACTATTAATTTTATAGTTGATTAAACTAAGTTAAAGTTAAATAAAAAATGTTAAGTGTTTCCTTAACTTTGTAAGTCACATGATGTACTCATATCTTAAAATAATATAAATATTTTTTAACAACCTAATATGCAAGTTTTTTATATTTTTATCTTTATACACATTTATAATTATAAGAAAGAGCTGTACACAGTTGTTAAATTACAAAACATTTTTTTATAAACATCAAAAATGAGCCTTAAGCTAGTGACGTAATGGTAAGAGTGTTAACTCAGAGTCAGAGCCACTATATAAATATAAAAAGATTACAAAGCTAGAAATTGTTTTACCACAAGTTATCTTTTGAAAGTTTAAAGAACTGAAGCCTAACAAAGCTTGATAATATTGGATTATTTAAAAAATGACCATACCAATTTTTGTATTCTAGTTGAATCATCATTAAGTAAACTATGCAAGTCTTTGAATTTTGCATGACTATTTGGTAGTATACTGGACTAGCCTTTCGAAACCTCTTCTTTGACCAAAGGTCATAAAGTTAGTTGTTTTTGGTGAACAGGTGAAATCATTATGAGGAGTTTAAATAAATGAAGAGAGTGATTTATTTTAATAGAATAAAATAAAGTACATATTAAAACTTTTACGTTTAAAATAATAGTTGCTTCTGATTTTTTTTTTCTTTCTTCAAATCTTAGCTCGTGGCCTCCATATGTCAATTATCTGGAGAAGGATAAACTTCGACATTTTCCCGGTTAGCAGAAAATTGTTTGCTCACGCGGTGCCAAAATCAGAGCAATTATTAGGTTTTGTTAGGCAAACTACAACAAATGCGTTTAGACAAAGCTAGGCCAACTGAATTCTTATAAATAGATAAAAAGTCATTGTAATATGTTCAAATTTAAATTTATAATTTACTTTTTTTTTTACTTTAAATGCAAATAACTTATAAACTAAAAAAAATCGTAAAATTATTATTATTATTTTTTTTATATATATATATATATATTATTTTTATGAAGTTTTTTCATAGAAATAGTATATAAAAATATCTTTTTTTAAATAAGATTACTTTTATTTATACGAAAACTGTTCAAATTAATCCGTTTTACTCTCAGTATTTTTCAAAAAATAATATGGATTATTATTAAATGGCATTATATTGTTTTTGATCCAATCCAAAAAAAAACGCAATGGTTAATCCTAATTTGCTTCCTGAGCAAAGATCAATATTATCAAAAAAATGTCTAATTTAAATCTGTTTAATTAGTTATGAAAAATATAAGGTCATTTGGAAGGAGACCATAATAATTCTTGTATTCTAGTAGAATCAGCATTAAAAGCAATTAGCTAAAAAATATGCGCAAAATAGGTAAGTTCCGAAAGTGATATCTTCAAATTTAAACTTACAAAATACCCTAGCAACGGTATAGATTGCTTAGCAACAGCTACGTTACGTTGTTAATAACTCGTACTCTAATTAAAATTAAAAACATTTTTATAACGGAATTCTTAAAGAGTGCCTAATATAGTTAATTCTAAATGAATTTTTTTAATGAGGGAAAGATTTTCCTATAAGAGAGAGAGCTACTTTTAACACAGAACAGATCCTCTTTGATTAGTTGGTGTTCGTACATCAATCATACAAACAACGTCAAGAAATGAATTTTTGAGGAAATGATGCACCCTAGGTTTTAAATTATTGCAGGATACCTTTGTATACTATGTTTAACAACAACCCAATCACCCATTTGAAAATCAGCAGCTAACTCCATTGCTTTCAGCTGAATATCGTCGTTTAAATCATCATTGTTATTTGTGTTACACGTCTTGCATGATCAGTTGCATAATCAACCTTATTATTAATTATATTAACCTCTTCACAAAAGAATGGCTGCCTGATTTCCTGTTCTTTTTTGTTTACTCCATCCAAATAAGCTTTTACAACTAAATTAAAACTTTGAAATGCTTCAGTTATATGAGGAATGTTGGGAACCGAGTTTATAACAGCAAGTTGCTGGATCACATCCACATTTATAAGAAGCTTGCCGCATTCATTACCCTCATATGGACCACCATGATATAAATGAGGAGGGCTGCTGGCCATTTAACAGCTTCTATCCAAGTAGTTTTAAATATCTTCAAAAGATGGTTGACAACTCCTAGGAACTGCTATTCCATCGGTGGAATTATTTTTATAATAAGGACACAGTCAAGACTACTGATGATTTGCTTTTGAAAAACATTGCCAAACAACTTTACGCGACCAACAAACCCGCCAGATTGTTGAAAAGGCTAGATTTGATTGAGCCCAATTTTTTCAAGTTTCCATATTTGGCAAGACACTTGGATTTGACGTCACAACATGTATAAGGGTGCATACTTAAATGGGCTTGAAGACTACAAATTATATTCGCAACTTTCATATCACAAGCCAGAGTTAGTTAAACTCCATTTGCTTTAATTAGCGACGAGATTCAATTAATAGTGGAGTGAGTTTCTGGCAAATCTTATGATTCCGCAACAATAATTTGTTTCTTAACTCCAGAGTCTTTGCCAGTCTTTTGAGTAAGAGCTTGTTTTTGAGGCGTTGAGCTGTATTCAACCCCTGAGTATAAACAATGCTCAGACAAATCCGCCAGAAATTTTGCGAAATTAAATAACATGATTCACAAGATTTAGTAAATCATTGCAGCGAGCAACTCCAATTATAAATATATATATATATATATATATATATATATATATATATATATATATATATATATATATATATATATAATATATATATATATATATATATATATATATATATACATATATATATATATATATATATATATATATATATATATATATATATATATATATATATATATATATATATATATATATATATATATATATATATATATATATATATATATATATATATATATATATATATAAGGTTAAGGTAGTAACCAAAGATATAATTTTTTACTATTTAATAATATACTCGTATGATGTGAAAAAAAATAGGTAGGTGTATTATTGTGTGTTATTCGAATCAATCGAATCTATTAAAGATTTAGATAAAAGGCGATTGTTTATATTGTTGATTACTGTTTGTTTTTTTTACATTAAATACTAATACTATGATAGCAAGAGTTTTCAAGTAATAATTTATTGAAATATTTTATTTAAGAAAAAAACGATTAAATTTTTTAAGAAGTTTATGATTTGTCTGATTCTTTCAAACAATCTTGCAAAAAATAATCTGTAATTTTACTTACACAGCAAAATCCAAGATTCTTGTTTTAAGCAAAAGAAAGTCTTAAAACAAGAAAAAAATGACTTGTCACGTAGCAATATTTTTTTTTGTTTATTCTTAAAATAAGAACTTTTTTTCTTGTTTTAAGAACTTTTTTTCTTAAATATTTTAAGAAAAATTTACTTTTCTTAAAATATTTAAAAAAAATCTTTTTCTGAATATTTATCTTTTCTTAATAAATATTTAAAAAAAAAAATTTTCTTAAATATATTTTAAAAATTTTTTTTCTTAAATATTTTAAAAATTTTTATTCTTAATATAAGAATTTTTCTTCTTGTTTTAAGAATTATTATTCTTAATATAAGAATTTTTTTTCTTGTTTTAAGAATTTTTATTCTTAATATAAGAATTTTTTTCTTGTTTTAAGAAATTTTATTCTTAATATAAGAATTTTTTTTCTTGTTTTAAGAATTTTAATTCTTAATATAAGAACTTTTTTTCTTGTTTTAAGAATTTTTATTCTTAATATAAGAACTTTTTTTCTTGTTTTCAAGAATTTATATTCTTGAAACAAGAAAAAAATACATAATTTTAAGAATATAAGTTCTTGAAATAAGAAAAAAAGTTCTTGCTTTAAGAATAAAAATTCTTATATTTATTGTTAAATATAAAAAATATTTATATTTATTGTTATTTTTATTTAAAAAAAGATTTTTTTTTTTTTTTCAATAATATTTCCCCTGAACTATAAAACAATATTACAAAAATACTTTTTTTATGGAAAAAATGAAACATTATTTTGAAATTAGGATGATATATAATAAGAATATTCAAAAAGTATTTATACATTTAAACAACAAAGCTAATCGTTGAAATAACAAATTATTCTTTGGAATGTTTTATTATTGTTTATGCTTGTAGCGGCAATACTCCTCCTATGTCCAAGAAAAGTGTACTCCAATAAGTTCCATCACGAAATCAGAAATTGAAAAATTTATAAAATAATCGTTTGCCACACATAATAATCACTTCGTCTCCATCGTTTGTTACGTACAGATAATTTTTTATACCTAAAAATAAGTTTTACTAACTCAAAATTTAACAATAATATCTTTTCATATCTTAAGATATATATATATATATATATATATATATATATATATATATATATATATATATATATATATATATATATATATATATATATATATATATATATATATATATATATATATATATATATATATATAAAGAGAGAGAGAGAGAGAGAGAGAGTTGCAAAAAAAACGCGTTTTTTTCCTTTGGCGTTTTTTGGGTCAAAAAAACGTGTTTTTTTGTTTTTTTTGACGTTTTTTTGGTGTTGTATTTCTTTTTTTAAAAAACTTTTCAGTTTTTTTTTACATAAATTTTGGACTAGTTTTCCTTTAATCTAGTATAAATTTTAGTATTTGGCCATTAAAGGCACAATTAGATGTATAAACACCAGTTTAACAAAAAAATTTTGTAAAAAATTTAAATTAGCTTTAAGTTAGTTATATATTTAGGTATACTGTATGAAAATGTTTATTTTCTGTTTTATTGTACTAGCAACTGTGATACTCTCATTATATATAAAAACTATTCTTATTCTATAAAAAAGTTACCATTTTAATTTTGATAATGTAAATACATTAATGTATAACACCATGCAAATTTGATATCAGACTTCGAATGCTCAAAAAAATAAGCTATCTATCAAGATTATTAACTTAATTAAGCATTTGTATATTATGTAGTAATTAAGTCTTACATTGTTTGTTTGTTATATCAAAAAAATAATTATTGCTAGTATGCCCATTAAAAAAAAGCCCTATACTGAACTTAGTTTCAAGGAAAATTTTAAAACTTTTTAATTATTATTATTTACGGAGTTTCCCAAACCCCATTCACCTGATGATTCGTAATTTACTTATTTGTAATTAATTTTTTAACAGCATTTTTTTTTTCTAATTACATTTATTCATCTAAATATTTTCATATAGCACTATATCAGAACACTTGCAAAATTCTTTAATATGCTCTGTTTTTTAAGTTCAATTTTTAGACATAATCTTAAGGCAAAAGAATTGTTTATCATTTTCCATTTTACTAATTTGATTCAGAGGTTTAATGGGTGACTAAGGCTTTATTTCTGCCCCCTGTATGGAGAGCCTAATCATAATTCTTTTTGTTCTTTCCTGTTGATTACCAACAAGAAAAAAAAATTTACTTAATAATTTAAAGATATTCATTTTTCTTTATATATATATATATATGTATGTATATATAGACATTATGGTGCTTTAAAAATCACTACTCAGTGTTAAAGTATTTTATGTCTTAATCAATTTTTTGTCAGTATTTTTTGTGTTAATCTATTTTTAGATTCTAATTTAGAAAAGATTTATATAAAATTTCTCTTTATTTGAGTAATAAGTTGACTTTTTTAATGTAAACATTTTAGAGACCATTTAAACAATATTAGGGACCTGTTGAATAGAAAATGAGCTTAAGTATGAACTAAATATTGAACAATTAAACTTAAATTAGACTTGAAACTTCAAATTGTGTATCTGGGATTATTAAATCATTTCTTTCTAACTGCTTTATTATAATCATCGTCAAATGCCTACTTATTTATTTCCAGTAACTTCTGGGGTTAATCTCAAGGTTCTATTCTTGGTCCTGTTTTGTTTCTTATCTACATTATTGATCTTCCTGACAACCCTACATCTATAGTAGCTCTTTTTGCTGATGACTAAAGTTTTTACTCCTGTCTTGACAAAAAGTCTTCTCTTTTTGATCACTTAGAATAGGCAGCCAATTTTGTATCTGATCTTACTTCTGTAACAGATTGGGGCTCACATATTTTAGCTTATAAATTTTATTTCTAACTAAACTCAGTTATTTACTGCAAACAACTACCACAATACTGTTGACATTCCTATATTAATTAATGGTAACCTTCTAACTGAGTCTTCTTTTTTACATCTTCTTGGAATATTATTTGCTACTAACCTTTCATGTACACAAAATATACAATTGATTGCTAAATTAGCATCCCTTTATCATTATCGTCGTTTTCTTACCCTTGATTCCATTCTCTACCTCTGCAAATATCTTTTTGTCCCTGTATGGATTGTTGTTGTCATATTTGGGCTGGTTCTTCTTATGATGCTCTTTTTCTTCTAAACAAGCTCTATCTGCTAAGCTTGAGCCTCTTTCCCATTGTCGTAAAGTTGCATCTCTTTCTCTTTTCTACAAATTCTATCATGGCGGCTGTTCAAAATAGTTATTACCTCTAGTTCCATTAACAAAAACTCATTCTCGACTCTTTATTATGCTAAGTCTCATTCATTAGTTGTTAAATTTTATTAAATATAATAAATGTAAATAAATGTTTATTGTGTCAATATACACTAAAAACAGTAAAGATAAAGTTGAGGAAGATAAAATTATCAAAGAAGTTTTTATACAAGATTGCTTCAACCGTGATAACCTTTAACCGTGTTAATATACCATAACAAAAATTAATTCAGTAAATTTCAGTATTTATTGTCCTATTTAAATCAGAAATTAAAATATGAATTAAGATATTGCCATTAAAGTTAAATTTAGTAACTTAAACAATTTTTGATTATTTCCCAAAAAAAAATAAAAAAACGGACCCCTTTGTTTTTTTTCCAAAAAAACAACCAAAAAAACCAAAAAAACAAGAACCAAAAAAACGCGTCACATCTCTCTCTCTCTCTCTCTCTCTCTCTCTCTATATATATATATATATATATATATATATTTATATATATATATATATATATATATATATATATATATATATATATATATATATATATATATATATATATATATATATATATATATATATTTATATATATAAGTGTTTTCAAAAAAACCTACAAACTTACAGCTTTTTTTAAAACAATATGTCCAGTTTTAGTCTTTTGAAAGTAATTGCAGCAAGTCCTTTATTAAGTGTTTAACTTTACTATCTAAAAACACATTCCTTATTTAATTATTAATTAATTTCAATACATTATTGTACCTAACTCTAACCGTAACCAAGCAAAAACAAAAAATGCCTAAGGTTGGCAATTTTTTGCTGACCTCGTTTTTATCTTTTATAGTAAAAACTTTGTAAAAATGGCTTAATGTTTGCCGATTGTAATCTGATGCCAACATAAAACAGTTTAAGGTCAACAATTTATTACTCATTTTAGTTTTACCAATTTTGGCAGTGGGCGAGGAACTGCCAACTTGTGTATTCCATAATGCATAATGCAATTTAATAGATGAACAAAAGCACACAAATTGATTATAAATAGAAAGAAAAGAAGATTAGAATTAGAGTGATATTCTTGAAAGTAAATTAATTTAAATATCTTGTCTTTAGATTAGATATTCATAAAAAATTATTGGTTCATAAATTATAAGTATATATATTATATCCTATTAGAGTGTTTGTAGTATGTTTGAGAAATAAAATTTTTATTAATAGGTACATAGACTGACTTTTTAAAATTGATCCAATACTAGAATGCTATATATCATTGGAAAGCCCTCAAATACAGTATTTTAAAGGTGAAAAAATTATGAAAATCAGACAATTCTTTAAAAAAAATCTAACGTTTTTAGTAGCAATTTTTCAATATATGGATTTCTTGATAAAACTGTGGTCAAAAAAAAAAAACTTTCTACATAAATTATTATAACTTTGCTACTTCTTATTCTAATATCTATAACTTAGTATCAAAAGATAGATGTAAAAATGGGCTATAATTTCAAACTAGTTTCTAGGTAAAGGTAAAATTATCAAACTAGTTTCTAGGTAAAGGCGCATGGAGGGATCCAGAGGGGGTGCTAATCCGCCACCTACACCTCACAAAAATACACTTTTTTTTCAAAATAGAGTGTTTTTTTTTATAAAATTAGTAATATTTATATACAACAAGTTATTATTTATTTATTCCACATCACTAGCAAATATTACAGGTCTATCTTAAAGTTGGGTGTTGGGTTTTGGGAAAGGTTTAACACACCCTATTAAAATTTCATTCTTTTAATTATTACAATCTTTACTAAAATGATTAAATCTATTATAAAAAACAAAAAATATATTTCAACACTATAACAAAGAGTAACTAGTGGTGTATAGACTGCTTTGATGGAAGAGGGCGTATACTGCCCCCCCCCCCCTCTGCTATGAACCTGAAAAAAAAAATTTTATGAAAATTTCACAAAAAAATGTTAAAATGCTTTTTTAAAAAACAGAGAGAAATTTGTACAAAAAAATATTTTAACACATTACAAAATGCATCAGTAACTATTTTGTCATGTAAAAAGACGGATTACCCATCCCAACCTAAAAAAAATACACGAAAACAACAAGCCTTTTGAAATAAAAAAGTGTAGTATAGTATGTATAAATTGCCTTTATGCACCCCCTTTCATAAAGGCAATTTATACACCTAGAGGTGTATAATTTGTCTTTATAAAAAGAAGTGCAAGCTATCCCCCTCCTCTGTCGGAACCAAATAAAAAAATTTTAATTACAATTTAACAAAGAAGTCTTAAAATGCTTTTTTAAAGAAAAAAAATTAGAATAAAAAACCATTTTACCACATTACAAGATGCATCTGAGTATACATTATCATGTAAATGAACAGCTTAACCACTCCAACCTGAGAAAAAAACAAAAAATACCAGTTTTTTGAAATAAAAAATGTAATTATTTTTTGTCTGGGCTTCTAGTAAATAATTCAATTTTTAAATTACATTAATGAAACAAAATGAAAAATTTTTAACAATAGACACCATGTAAAGGTTAGCCAGAGCCAACTATCAATTTGCAAGCCACAAAACTTGTGGTACCTACTTGCAAACCACAAAACTTACTGTACCTTATTTGCAAGCAACAAAACTTCCAATACCTATTTGTAAGCCACAAAACTTGCTGTACTATATTTGCAAGCCACAAAATTTGCAGTACCTATTTGCAAGCCACAAAACTTCCAATACCTATTTGTAAGCCACAAAACTTGCTGTACTATATTTGCAAGCCACAAAACTTGTGGTACCTCTTTGCAAGCCACAAAACTTGCTGTACCTTATTTGCATGCAACAAAACTTGTGGTACTTATTTGCTAGTCAAAAAACTTGTTGTACTTATTTTCAAGCCACAAAACTTGCAAAACCTATTTGCAAGCCATAAAACTTGTGGCAGTTATTTTGCTGGTTACAAAACTTGCTATACTGTGAGCATTTTTACATTAATTTTATATTCAAATTAAGAAAATTTAAACTTCCCTGATATAACAACAGCAACTAGCTGGAGTTTTTAATCTTTTGACAGTTCAATATCAGTTCCATCTTGTTTCCAATAAGAAATAGTGTAAATTCTGCCTTGTTATTTCTTGTTTAATTTTTTTAACTCTGCCATCATAAATGGCAAAATAAAAACTTAAACAGAAAATTAACAACGAAAATATAAAAAAAAATCTAATTACAAACAACAAACTAACACTTGGAATATTGCTACAAAGTTAAAGTAGTAAACAATAAATTAATAATTATTATTAATTTTTTATTAATTTGAAATTTATAATTCAAAATTAATAATATAAAATAATATTGATAGTATAAAAGATAAAATTGTTATTGAATATTATTAGTTAATAACAATTTTATCTTTTATACTATTAATATTGCTTTAACATTATTAAAACACTTGAAAAACATTAACTTAATGATTAAGTTTATGTTTTTAAAGTATTTTAATAAAAAAAGTTAAAACTGTTATTGACTATTAACATTAATGTATACTACTTTATTTTTGTATTTATTATATATAATAATTAACATGTTTAGTTAATGGAATATATAAATTGTATACTACTTTATCTTTTAATTATTGTTTACAATAGCCTATTAAACAAGTGTAAAGATAAATAAGTGTAACATCACATAAAGTATGTGATCTTTACACTTATTTATGTATGGTGTTTTTATAAAGTTGTCCACTGATCCTTTGATTAAAGTATTCTCAATTGTTACTCGATTGAGTTAACAAATAATTCAAAAGCAACAGCTTTACTGAAGTTTTAGTCTTAAACGTTAAGAATTTTTTATATGTAACATTTAAAAAAGATTTTTAAATTCATCAACATAATTTAGTTTTAAAAATAATTATTACTTATACTTTTATTAAAAAAAAATAACTTACTAGTTGTTACAGAGTCCAACAAAACTTCATTAACTTTTTCCATTTTATTATTTAAAAAACCATAATAAACAACATTCGCAATAATAATTGTTTTGCGAATGACCCCCCTAGCTGCCCCCGTAATTTGCTATAACCGGAAAAAAAATCAGAAAAACAGAAATTAGGTACCAAAAGTGTTACACTTAGTAAACTGCCTGCTTTTTTCGTTTAAATTTGGAATTTACATAGAAAATGCATGTAGAAAATTGTTTAAATAATAAATAGGGCGGGATCAACATTCCTTCTACTAAAAGTGAGAACATTGTCTAAATTTTCATGCAAAATTTAAAGCAAAATAACCCATAAAGAAGTTCAGTAACCATACATAAAAGTTATATAGAAATCACGCTTAACCTTTCTTCTTTCAAAAATAAATCTTTATTTGCATATTTTTCTAAAAAGAAATACCACAAAAGTACGTTTTACTAAGACTACCGAATAAATGCAGTATGCGTAGTAGAACCCTTTGAAACCTATCTGCTCCCTTTTTTTTTTCGTTGAAATTTGATATGTGGAAAGAAATTGCATGCAGAAATTTGTTTGAATAATAAATAGAAAAAGATCAATATTCCTTCAAGAAAGAAGAGATAGTACAAATTATAAAGAAACTAAAGGACGAGGAAAGAAAGTTCAGCTAATCTATTGACGAATTGACAAACGTTAAAAATCGAAGATTCATTGATGTTCATTTATACAGAAATAATGAAAATAATTCATTTAACCTTGGTTTGATTTTTATTGAAGGAGGTTGTAAATCAAAAGTAACTTTGGAAATACTGTCACAAAAATGGTGTTCTACAAAATGGTGTTCTACAAAATGGTGTTCTATAAAATGGTGTTCTACAAAAATATGTAAAAGAGCAAGAACAAAAAGAATTGGCTTTGCTACAACTTTGTTACTAGACTGTAAAACACGCTGAAATACTATTGAAATAATGGTGAAACGGTTCTTAAAAATCAAAAACTATGTGCAAATGGCATTAAGTGAATTAAATTTTAATCATTTGTGGAAAGATAATTACATACAAATGGCTGAAATTATATTAGCTGTATTAGAACCGATACAAATAACTGTAAAAGCTTTAAGTCGAGCAGGTGCAACAATATTAACGGCCAAAGGAGCCTTAAAATTTTTATTTAATAAATTAGAGGAAGATTGTAGAAAGAACCAAATAAGTAGAGAATTCTTAAACAATATCAAAGAAGAAATAAGTAAAAGGAGAAATGATAATGTTGTATCTTTATACAAATTTTTACATAACTCAACAAATGCTGAAAAATATGCTTCTTCTTTTAATAAATCTTGCTCAAAAAATTATATTTATAAAACTGCTAGAAAAATATTCGATAAATTGTATGGGTCATCCTATTTGGAAGAAGATCTAACTGAAGAAACGTCCACTGGCAGCAATTTCAACACTGAGCTATCGCTTAAAGAACAACTAAATTTAGCTATAACTAATACAACAAAAGAAATTATGCCACGCCAACGTTACAATAATGATAACCAGAATCTTTATCAGACACTTAAAAAAGAATGCACCATATTCCAAACAACTGGAATAAGGTCGCAAAATTTGAAAATCTAAAAGATACATTATCTACAATAAAACCAACTTCAACGCATAACGAACGTAATTTCTCGCCTGCTAATGATTTTGTTACAAAAAAAAAAAAATAGATTTTCAAACACGTCACTGAATGCGTTATGTTTTTTTAAATATTTCTTCTAAAACAATAAATTATTACTTATGTGTTTATAATTTTTCTAATTGTTTTTTTAGTTTCACATTTTTTTTTTTTTTTTAAATCGCATTTTTGTATTAAAATTAAAAAAAAAAATTACAATTTTGACATTTCTCAACATTTTTCGAGAATTCTCGAGAAGCTCATTCTCAATTTATCATTTCTGGAGAATTAAAAACATCGAGAAATCTTAAACACTACTTCGAAGGTGTAAGTTTAGGAGGGTGAGTATGAAGACCCCGACTGAGGCATTTAAAAAAATCCATCAAATTTTTATTAGATTATTCAAGTAAATATTTAAGTTAAGGAGGGCATTATTAGCAGAGCGAATAACTTTTTTTATTTTTTTATTTTTTTGTTTTTTGTTTTTGATAAACTCTTTTGGTAGGAGTTTTGAGATAAACTATTGTGGTAGCCTTTTGTGGTAGTTGCTTGTCGTAAACTAAATTTATTTAGTATTAACTTTAGAAAACTCAGTTCTTCTAACAATGAATTACAAAAATATGGCAGCAGATGATTTTAACGAATCTCATACAAAGTATGGTAAAGTTCAAAACGAAAAAGTTGTCCAAAGAATTTTCAGCACTAGTTTAAAACAGAAAACAGCTTGGGAATATCCTGAACTCTTGGAAAGCTTAAATCCAACAACAAAGATGTTACAATATTTCAGCAAGGTTATTTTTTATAACATGAACTTGGTCATAATCATAAATACACCAATACACCGATATATTACTAGATTGTTTATAATATATACAATTTTATTTTACAATTACATATTATTTTTACATATATATATATATATATATATATATATATATATATATATATATATATATATATATATATATATATATATATATATATATATATATATATATATATATATATATATATATATATATATATATATATATATATATATATATATATATATAAACATATCACATGTTTTTTGAGTTGTAATACATTTTCCGAGTTCACTTGACAGTTTTTGCACCTCACAATGTTGTTATGTTTGTCATGTAATTTTTTAAACGTTGTATTAATTTAAACTTATGTTGCTGCTAAATTTTTAAACTGAAGAATTGTTTCAGTTTAATTCTGTCTGATGTTAGATGATCATGTAGGCTGGGTTGAAGATGACAAAGCTGTTTAAACAAATTGTTTCCATTCCATCCAAACTGACTTGGTTGTTGTAAACATGGTGTATGGTGGTCCCACTACAGACTAATGTTTGCATAGACGTGATACTAATTGCAAGCTAAAATTGTAGTTCAAGATTTTCAGATTAATAGCAAAGATTATATTTATATTAAATTTAATTGTTTATTAACAATTATTGTAAAATTTGTGGTAATTTTAAAGCATAAAAATGTATAGTTAGCATGTACACATTTCTCCCAAGAAAAATTTATACAGGTTTTCATTCAATTTTTCTTTCGGAACTAGTTAAATCAATTGAAGACCTTGGTGCAAAAACGATGTAACTCCATTTTTGCAAATTGTTCAGGAAAAAAGAAAAAAAGGAATAATTTTATATGTAGAGAATACGTATTTTTTTACCAAATTGTGTGTTTAATTATACCAGAAGTGCTTTAATCTATGCCATTTTCATTCTAACTGATATAAATTATTTTATATACTCATAATTCATGAAAACCTTAAAATTGATAAAAAGTGGAGTTACACCGTTTTTGCACCGAGGTCTTCAATTTTGAAAAGAAAATTTTGTTTGGCATATATTTTTTGCAGAAATGTCTTTTTAGTTAAGTAAAAAATATTTTTATTTAGTTAAAAAACGACGATTTGCTTGTTTTTTGTTAATAAATTAGTGAATGTCTGTTTCACGAAAAGTAACATTCAATAATGTATAAAAAACGTGTAAATTTTTAAGTTTTCTGAGTTATTATAATTTACCAATAAATTTCCTTTTTATATAATTTTTATTTTGTTAATTTTTAACTATTTTCAAGCTTTTACCAACATTATAAACATTATAATGTTGGTAAAAGCTTGAAAAAATAAACTGAAAATAGTTAGCTTTATAACAAAACTAATCATTTTCAGTTAATAATAAGTTGTAATGTCTCAGAAGAGTTTCAAACTTGTAAAAGCTGCAACAGGTTATGAGTTACCAAAAACTACAAATAATGCGAGCGTGATATGTTTCACATCTCAAGGGCAATCATCAATTGATAGCTACATTATTAATTCTCCTATAATAAAAAAACAACAAAGAGATACTGGATATAAGAAGTTGCTTGGTAACCAAGAGAAGTTCAAAGAAATAGGCTTGATAATATAACGGTATATTTGTTTTTAATACACCTTTTTTGTCATTTGTTTTTGTCAGAGGATTAATGTTTTAAAAAACAAATCAGAAGGGAAAGGCACATTGCAAATTTCTTCAATCAAAGACAATTATAGACAAACAGAAAACAAAAAATACTTCTGTTTTGGTTGCCAGTTATCAATAAATTGATAAACTTAACATCTATGGTAAGACAAACTTTTAATATAACTAAAAAAGTGTTAGCAAAAATTAACCCAAATCAAGTCTCTATAATAACTGCTGACCAACTATAATAACTGCTGACCAATTGCTTACCAACTAGTATATGCTTTTTGTAAACAAGTTCAGTGGCACTACCCGGAGTTATATAGCTATAATAAAATTTTAATGATGATGCGTAGGTTACACATATAAATAGCCGTTTATATTTGGTTGGAAATTGGTTAGAATGCAGTGGTTACTGTGATGCGTAACTAATGCTGGTATAACAAATTCTGAATGAGCTGAACCTATGCTGATTGGTTATTAAGTATAATGTTCCAAGTATGCAACACAAATTTTATTAGCTGGTTTATATTCACTATTGATTGAAGCATTCTAAAATTGATCTACGATTACCTTTGACTTGCGAATTACCTTTGACTTGTAATTCCATCATCTACGATTACTTTTGACTTGTAGATCCATTATAAAAGAACAGCATACACCCCATTTAACTATTATTTTACTAATATGAAATTACAAGCAATAGTCCTGTTGCTTGTTAAGAGTTTTAGAATGGGAAACTTAATGTTTGTCAGTGCCTAAGAAAATACTATTCCTTGAATGTTTGTTTTAATTCACACACACATACACTATTCTAGATGGCTTCAAATTTTTCTTGTTGACATGAATATGCTCCCTGATAAAAACCATGAGATTTATAACAATTTCTGCAAAGGTTTTTTTACATTTCAAAAGATCTATGGCTTTATATATCAGACCCATGAACAAAACATCAAACTCATAAAATAAAATGGCGGCTCAAATGACGTTTCTTTATTTTTACTCATATTCCCCTCACTACTAAAGACGAACTTTTTATATTTTTAACACCTTCAGGTAGGTAAGAAATTTATTTTCAATACAATGCCATACTTTTTTTAAAATCTTTTTTTTTAGTTTTATTAAATATGAAAAAAAGACAAATTCATTTGCTTAACTACAGTTTATTAAAATAATAATATATTAACAATAAATTCCCAAATTTATTATAAATGTGGATGAGCTGAAAGAAAACCAAAAAATAATAGTTTAAATATGTTTGAAATATTTATAAAATAAAAACTTCAAAAATATATTTTAAATATTTGTAAAATTGATTTTTATTAATAAGTCTTCAAATTTAATTGAAATTTTGATACAAATTTTTATTCAAATAAACTATTTAATATATTTACTTAACCTCTTAAATCTTTTTAATATTTATGTTGGTCCTAAATCTTTGCACATTAAAATCGGTATAAATACATTTATAAAAATATATATAACATAAAGATAAATGTATGTATATATATATATATATATATATATATATATATATATATATATATATATATATATATATATATATATATATATATATATATATATATATAAAAACTTTTGCTTCTATTACAAGTTTTATATTAGCACTCTAACCAAATAAGTTATTTCCTTTAACGCACGACGAAACAATGCATAAAGGTTAATATCTACGTCAGTAGATGTTAAACTATATAACAGTAGATGTATAGTATATATAGATATAATGGTATTTAATTAGGTGTAAACCTATATCGGATGGTCACCAGAAAGTTGGCATACTGTTTTTGCTTAAAATATGTAGGTTAGAAAATCAATTGTTTAACTTAAATACATAACAGATTAAACTTTTTTTTAGCAAACAGTCTGTGCAGACACATCATCAATAAATTGCATACTAATAGGTGTTGTATCAAAAAACTTGAGTGAAACTATTGCAAACGGATCCGTAATAACTAATTATCATGACGTAAATTTTATTACAATAATTTTAGAGAAAATTGTTAGTGTGTATCTTAATGCTATAGCAACTGAACAGGTATTTATAATTATTTTTCCAATAATTTTTTTTTATTTATTTTTAGTTTCAATTTTATTTGTTTGATAAAAGCATTACTACCTTGATTGACGACGAATACCATCCTGGTTTGTATAGAATTGAGTTCAGAATTAATCATACAATGCTATTTGAAACTTCACAACAAACCCTCCCGGTGGGAAAAAAGACGTCTTTAAAAGTCTTATTTACGACGTCTTTTTTTAATCGGTTATGCAAATCTAAAAGACATCTTTTTTCGGCATCGAAAAGACGTCTTTTTTTATCCTTATCTTGTCATGAAAGACATAAACAATGCGTCTTTAAGACGCTTTTTTTTAGTCGAATATGCAAATCTAAAAGACATCTTTTTTCGACATTCAAAAGACGTCTTTTTTTATCCTTAATCTTGTCATGAAATGACATAAAAAATGCGCCTTTAAGACGCTTTTTTTTAGTCTAATATGCAAATCTAAAAAAGTATTTTTTCTCGGGGTCAGAACGACTTTTTTGCCATACTTATTAGTATACTATAGTATCCTATACACTATAGTATTCCTACTTTTCTTATATGAAAAGCTGTTTCTATCAAATGAAAATGATAATAGTTCTTCATACAAAGTATGACAAAAAGCTCATTCTTATGTCGAGAAAAAAAACCTCTTTTAGATGTCAATATAAAAGAAGAAGCATTTTCTACATCTTTCATATGTTTAAACATAGGAGAATAATTTATAAATAAAACAACAGTATTGTTCAACAGAATATTTTTTTATCTTCCTCTTTCTTTCCTGTTTCTTGAGCGAGCTCTGTTTCTTGGCGTTGCTGAATAAAATTAACAATTTCACCTTTCATACAAGCAGGTTACCACTTCTAGCTGGTTACCACTTCTAAAAAACAAGTGAACATATTGAAGCAAACATCATAATTTACAATTATCGAAATGATTGTACAACGATGTATTTTATTATGTAGTACTTAAATCAAGCTAAACATTTGCACCTCTCAGATTTGCTATGAAAACCAAGTTATGGGTTTTCATAGCAAATCAAGTTATTAGAAAACAGATATTGATATTTTTCTGTTTTCTATAACATGATTTTTTAATTGAACTTCGCTTTAAATTAAGTGTTGTAGACTCATAACAATTTAAACAACGTTCTTCAAGCACAGACATTAAAAAATTAGTCTAAAAATAAATGGTAAAACTTTTTTAAAACACTTACCTGCGACTAACTTAATTGAGACCAGATCATATTGATACCATCTTACTGGCACCACGCCATCCACTAACATTTTTTAGCTAAGCAGCTGCAATTGTATATTTATTTCAGTATATTTATATATATATATATATATATATATATATATATATATATATATATATATATATATATATATATATATATATATATATATATATATATATATATATATATATATATATATATATATATATATATATATATATATATACTATAATATATATATATGCATTTATATTATGTATATTTAACATAATATATTACTTTATTATATAAATTATTAAATAAACCCGCTTACCGAAAAAAGTTAATTTTTAATTAAATTTCCTATGCAAAAACGTTTCACATAAAAGTTATAGAAAAGTAAAGAAAAAACGGGCCAATCAGAACGTAACAAAGATATCGTAATTATTTTTAATTTTCTTAAGCAAATAATGATTTCCTTAATAACAACCGATTGAAGTCTTTTCGACCTCTTTTTTGAAGACGTCTTTTCAACAGACGTCTTTCCATGTCTTTATTTTGGCTGATCATAAAAAGACGTAACAAGTCATAAAAAAGACGTCTTTTATTGATCTAAAGATGTCTTTTTTTCCACTGGGTTATCTCTATTAAAGGCAACAATTGTTAGTTTTAAAGAGAATGGTGATGCTGAAAAGTTTTATCCTCAATTTTACAAAGATATTAGTAGTGATAGAGGAATTTTCATTAACAGTCTGACTAAAAAAAACAACTAGACTTCTTGGCTATGAACTATGCAATCATGTTTTAGCATTTCTTACAAACTCATTCTACAATAATTCTTTTGTAAATTTAAATGATTTATTGTCAGTTGAACTTTCAGATAGAGATAAAGAAGTTATCCTATATCTCTATGGTTATGTATTCAGTACATTTTATTGCAGAATTCGCAGTTCGTAAGTATGGCAGTAAAAGTCAACCACAGACTGCCTTTCACTTCTTTTTTTTTTTTTTTTATTTGTCATTAAAAAAAAGAATACAATGCCGTGTTATATAAATAAAATCTACATGACCAGGGCTAAAATAAAACAATATTTGCCTTATCATTACACCCCGACGTGCTTTCATCAGCAAACGTGTATAACCATTAAAATGTAAACATAAAACGTACCATTTAAAAATTATATACAAATATATACAAATATGTTAATATCAGTTACTAATCTATAATCAAAAGAAAATCGTAAAAAAAAAAAAAAAAAAAAAGCAATTACACCTAAAAACTGAAGATAAGTTAATAGGATAATTTAAAGAAAATTTAAGTTGGTTAGACTAGTTAATAAAATAGTTGTTAAAAAAGAAGATAAAAGAATCTTAAAAAGAATTTAATTCATTAACATCGTTAAGAATTTTTTCTTTGAGTTTTTGTTTAAATAGAGAAAGTGAAGAACAATTTTTCAGCTGGTTTTTTGATAAAGTGTTCCATAATTTAGGACCTCTGATGGCAATAGAAAATTTAGTAGCCAAATAGTGTATTTTAGGTTGCTCGTAATTGTAATTTGAAAATCTTGTAGGGTACACGTGATTAATTTTATTGAAAAATGTATTAAAAATTATAGGAGTTAATTTATTATGTAGTTTGTACATAAATATAAGAATTTGATAAAGGGGTATCTGAAGAACATTGAGTATGTGATGATTTTTGAATAGTTCTTTAGAATGTGCGAATCGACCTGTATTTGAAATAATCCTGAGAGCGTGTTTTTGTCTACTAAGCAATTTTTTAACTTTACTTACATTAGATCTCTATTTTAGAGTGGTCAATGTAAAGATCAGGAAGTTTTAATGGAAAATTTTCTTTATCGTGAAGTCTATGAAAAAAAGTATACTTCGTTTTATTTAAATTTAAGGAAAATTTGCCTTAAACCATTCCGCTAGATTTAAAAATTCCTTGTTTACTATTTTAAATAAAAGGTTGATATCTCCATTAGAATAAAATAAATTCGTATCATCTGCAAATAAAACTGAGTTTAAAATGTTTGAAAACTTATGGAAATCGTTTACATAAATAAGAAATAAAAGTGGACCCAGAATTGAGCCTTGGGGAACACCGCAAGTAACATTCAAGTATTCAGTTTTTCCTTCTTCATGTGCTATGTATTGTTTTCTATTGTTTAGATAACTTTTGAGCCATTCTAAATATGTACTTTTAATACCATAACTTTCGAGTTTTTGTATAAGAATGGTATGGTTACTGTATCAAAGGTTTTGCTAAGATCTTTGAAAACTCCTAGGGTAAACTTACTTTCATCAAATGCTTTAAATATATCGTGAAAAATATTAATAATGGCATGGTCAGTTGAATACCCTGGTTGAAATCCAAATTGTTTGTTATATAGAATATTATTTATATTTAGAAAAGTCATACATACGGTTATACATAATTCGCTCTAAGATTTTGGAGAAGCAAGGAAGAATTTAATTTGGTTTGTAATTTTCAGGATTAAATATGTCTCCGGACTTAAAAATAGGTATGACTCTCGCAATTTTTAGTTTCTCCGGATAAATGCCTAGTTTTAAAGAGAGATTAAAAATATGTATAAGAGGGATTGTTAGGTACTTTATTGATTTTTTAATTACATTACTACTAATATTATCAAACCCCACACTTTTGTTTAGTTTTAAAAAATATATCGAATCTAAGAGTTCCTTTTCAGTAATTTCATAATTATCCATCTTATTAGGAGTAAGATATGACTCAAAGTTTACTTCAGTAGTTTCTATTTTTGACGCTAAAGTGGAACCAACACTGACAAAGTATTGATTAAGTGTTTCAGCAATTAAAGATTTATTTGTTATAGTTTTATTTTTAATGTTTAGTTTTATAGGAAGACTATTTCCGTCATTTTGTTTCGTGCCAATCACTTCCTTAATTGTGTCCCAAGTTTTTTTTTGATCATTTTTATGTTTTATTAAATGCTCAGTATAGTAATATTTCTTTGACTTTTTGATAACAACCTCAAAAATACGTTTATAATTTTTGTAATTAGTTTCATTATTGAAAGTTTTTTTTTGAGAAACTTATTATAAAGTCGTTGCTTTTTTTTCGACGACTTTATAATTCCAGGCGTTATCCATGGATTTAATGTTTTTTTTTTCACACATTTTGTAACTACAGGAAAAGCCGAATTGTAAAGTTGTTGTAATTTATTAATAAACTTATCGTATGCCTTATCTGCGTGTTCAATATGAAGGAGGTCACGTGTTCAATATGAAGAAGGTCACGTGTTCAATATGAAGAAGGTCACGTGTTCAATATGAAGGAGGTCATCCCAATTTAAATCTGATGAAAAAGTATTAAAACTTTCCAAGAATGAAAGATGATGAAAGAGTATTAAAATTTTTCCATGGATTTTTCATTTATATTTCGCGTATTTTTTTTAACTTTTTGTGCATAAATGTTATCACATTCTTAATGCTGATAAAATAAAACATTTTTTTAAGAAACCTAAAACTTCCACTGAGTCTTACCAAAAGTTTGTAAATGCTAAAAATTGAGGTGGTTTGTGGAAAGTATCTCCTGCAGTTTTAGAAATCTTTACAAAAGTTGAGGTTCTCTTTCGCCAACAAAGGAATGGTTTCGTAAAAAAAATTGACTCAGAACTGATTGTAACCAAAATTTTAAAAAACAGTGTTGTTATAGCAAGCATATCTGAACTTCGTAGTGTTTTCACAAATCAAGTATTCAAAGAACTGTCTTTACACTTATTTTATTATCTGGTTACATTTTATGTTAGAGGAAGATCTTTTTCATATGCAAAAAAAAAACATATTTTTATATGCAAAAAAAACTAAGTATCCACAGACTTAAAAAGAATCAAACAAAGTCAAAATCACTCCGTTCAAAAATAAAAATAAATATCAATTGGATTCCAATAAATAGTTTAATTTAATATCACATTCAACGGCCATTTTCATAGTCACAAATTTCACAAAAACATACTTGACATATAGTGCAGCAGATTAGCATAACATTTGTGCAAAGGCGGATAAAACCATAAAACCTTTTTTACACGTAAGAAATTAAGTATTTTTTAAATATTATTATTTTTTACACGTAAGTAAGAAAATAAGTATAAAATCGATTTAAGATATGTTAGCACGTTGAGTTAGTTGGATCTCCGTAGTAAAAATCAAAATTGGATTTCGTGTTTATAACAAAACGCAGACCAGATATATATTCTATATATATATATATATATATATATATATATATATATATATATATATATATATATATATATATATATATATATATATATATATATATATATATATATATATATGCAACCACGCTTTCTAAATATATATGGGATACACAAAATAAAACAAAAACAACACCCAATTTAAAATGGTCCATCATAAAATATGCACCCGCGTACAACAACATAACCAAAAAATGCTTGTTACGCTTATGAAGACCACAATGGAAAAAACGGCAGAGTCACATTTTTATAATTTTTCAGTTATGGCCCTTGGGTAATAAAGCATTGAAAAATGCTTCTTTTAAGCGAAGTTTCAAATGAAAAAACCGACATAGTCTATGGTAAAATGGAATAAGAAAATATGGTATACAATGGAAAAAACAGCCGAGTCCACCAGTGACAAGGAAAGAAAAGGCAGGGTCCATATAATAACGTTATATGTGACTCTGCCGTTTTGATTTCCATTGTGATTTTTATATATTTAATTATTTGGGTTTAAAAAAGGGTCCATATAGGTCATATGACCTTTAGGGTTGCGTGACCCTTTGGACCAATCAGTAAGCTGTAACCTTTTTTTTTTTTAAGTGAATATATTTTGCTGTTTAATAAAATCAATTACATAAGATTTTCAGGTAATAAAATATATAAATAAATAAGACAATTTAAAAAAACAGACCGGGACTCAAAGAAGATATGGGTGATACAATACCACCACAATCTTTTCATAGAGCCCCTAGAAAAATAAAAAGTCGTCAAAAAGTTATAATAAACTGCAGATAAAAGTATGATGTAAAACTTCAAATTTAAATACTCAAGGGTTTA